ACCTTTTTTTTGTTGTTTTATTTATTTTCTTTTTCATTTCTATTTTGTGTAGGGGAAACAAATTGGATCATTCAATCACCAATCCTCGTGGGATCGACCTCGCACTTACATATGCTATACTAACAAACGGCTCGTGCACTTGCGAGTATCACAAGTTGAGGATGCAGCTTAATCCATTTTGGTGGAGCTAAATCTACGCAACAGTTCCTAATGCTTAATTTTAGGTTAGACAACAAATGATCAAATTAGGGAATTAGGAACACAAGGTTATGACCACACACCATGGCTTAATCATACATTAGCTAGAATCAATCCGTTAATCTAATTGAACTTGGGAACTTATCTGCTTGAGTTAGTTATTTTCTTTCTTCCTTGTTTTATTTATTTCCCTTCTTTTTCATTTCTGTTTTGTGTAGAGAAAATGAATTGAATCATTCAATCACCAATCCTCGTGGGATCGACCTCGCACTTACATACGCTATACTACCGAACGGCTTGTGCACTTGCGAGTATCACAAGTTGAGGATGCAGCTGAATCCATTTTGGTGCAGCTGTATCTACGCAACAGTATCCGGGATTGATAATATACAGTTTCCAAATTAACAAGGTTGTAAAGAGATAGTGACTCCAAGATGGGGAAGGCATGACTCGAGTTAATGACAGCTGTAGCCTCATCATTGTTTTGGACATGGAGATTCTTCAGTTGTTTACCACTGTCACTTGCTGATATATAGGAAATAATATTTGCAGCCTCCATCCCATCCAACTCCAAATCTTCACATCTCTTTAGCAGCAATTTTTTACCTTGATCAAATTGACTGTTCGTAGTGAGCTTGAGTTTTAACATGTTAGAGGATGTTTTGTCAATATCAGGAAATAGCCAACAATCACCAATAAGTATGGTGTATCTTTCTAATCTTGTATCCGAGAACATGTTTGCCCGAAGAAGCTTAGCATCTGGAATATGTATATTTAATGCAGTTAGTTGACGCAATTGTTTCAGCTCTGACACGCTCGCATTACTTCTTCCATCATTTAAACCTCCTTCCCATTTAATAAAGCTACCCATTCTCAAGTCTTCTAGACTTGTCAAGCTTGATATAACGCCAGGTGAGATCAATACAAGTTCAGAGCAAAAACTCAAATCCAACAATTGTAGACAAGTCAATTGCCCTATTACTTTGGGCAACTCCTTAACCTGGGAGTATATAAGGCTGAGAATTTTCAAGTTTGTTAGCTGTCCAACTAGAGCTATGTCCCCCAACATGCACAGATCTAAACACAAAGTTTGAAGATTTGTTAGGGATTGAAGAGATGGAGGCAGTGACGGAATACGCAGTCTGGTTACATCCAACACTTTGAGTTCCTTCATCCCTTCAAAATAGTTGCTTGGGATTTCCAAGGAGTCATCAATATTATTATTTTCCAAGACAAAAAATCTCAATTCTGGGCATACCCAAGGTACTTCAGGAAGTCTAGGGATCTTGCAGTACATCAAGGAGATAGCAGAACATTTTTTAAGGAAATCTCTATTGGGCCATGCTTTCACCTCATCTCCATATGCTCTTGAAAATGCGTGTTTATCTTTAGATGCAATCCAGATAGCAACATCTCGTACAAGCTCATGCATTCTAACTCTTCCATCATCATAATTGTCTAGCAACAAACAAGAATCTTTAAGTTTGTTAGCCAATGAATGCAACGCATTCCGTGCATCTTCCACCGTGTCAACATTTTTAACCAAACTCAAACCCATGACATATTTCAACAAGTCAGTGAGACTAATTGAACAACTGCCCCCTGCAATAACTCCACAGAGCAAGAATAATGGTTGAAGCTCCTCCCTGTCCAATCGATTGTAACTCCATTCTATAGCCAAGTATGCTTTTTCTGTCAATCCCTTTTGGTCAAAACTTTTAAAGCGCCTCAAGGCATCGTTCCATACCTCTAAAGTAGTACATGATCTTAGAGCGCTTGCAACTGTAACAACTAAAACCGGCAAACCTCCACATTTTTTGGATATTTGAGTTGCTACTTTTTTAATAGGGTCATCTATAACAACATCACCTGCCATCTTCTCAAATAAACTCCAACTTTCTTTCTCGCCTAAAACATCAAGCCGAAACACTTTTTGTGTACGCATCTCAGAGACTAGATCTCTAGACGTCAACAATATTTTACAACTCGCCATTGGGCGAAGTCCCAAATCCTCCAAATTAATTGCTTCCCAGACATCATCTAAAATTACAAGACTCTTCTTGTCTTTTATCCTATTCCAGAGATGTTTTGCCCTTGCTTCCATATCCTGACTTTCCTGAACATCCATATCTAACTTTTCAGCAATTTTCTTCTGAATTCTTTCCCTTTTTTCAGCTTCTGGAAACTGCTTAACATCCAAAACTAAAACCACATCATCAAATAATTTCTCTGTTTTAGCTTGTCTATAAACTTCCTGGACGAGTGTGGACTTCCCCACCCCACCAATTCCGTACACGCCAACCAAGGTTGTAACAGGATTTCTCAATTCCGCCATGATTTTGTTCACCATTGAAATCCTTGATTCGAAGGCCATGTAGTCTTCGGAGGGTGTGTCAAATATCTCTTCTAGGCGAGCATTGTAAAAAACACTGGGAATCTCTTTTTTTGCATGTTTTTCAATCTTTTTTGCCAATTTTGTTGATTTCCTGCTAAGTTGATGATATGAAACCAGATTAGGACATACTCCACGGAAACACTTTGTCTTTGCTTGGCCTTCATTTCCCAAAATCTTTTCTGCCTCTTGAGTGATCCCATCTGCTTCTTTTCTCCAGTTCTGGACATCAGTTTCTACTCCTTTACCATTTCTTTCAACTTCATCAACCCTATGCTTCATCCTGTCTTTGGCACCATCTAAGTTCTTCAATTGGCTCGTCAGACTTTCAAGGTTGCTTTTGTAGTTAATTAGATAACCCACTTGTCGCCCAATTGGTTCAACTGTATACTCGATTATTTTAAGAATAGTTCCAGTGAGGATCTCCATGGTTCTTTTTGTTTTGCCTTTGGAATGAGACCCTTGTATCTGTTGAATAAACGAACCCAAAAACAAGAAAATGAAAAAGAGTAAAAGAAAAAATATTAAACCAATTGAAATGAAAGAAGGAAACTAAAGGGCATACCTTAGCTTGTGAGACTAAGCTTAAATAGAAGAACACAGAGTATCAGTATGCAACACTTCTTTTTCGCTTTTTCAGTAAGCTTCTTCTGGAAACAACTGTAAAGTGAAAGTGTAATGAAGATAAGTGAAACAAAATGCATGACTCTCAAATCTCGAAACAAAAAGAATAGTTGGGCCACAGTTTTCCTTTAATTTTTTTTGTTTTAGTAGTGTTTTAATTTTTGTAACTTTTTAAAATTTCTTTAATCTAAGGGACAAATTTCTAAAGGAAAAAAATTAGTTGGATTTACTTCTGAAATATTTATTAATTAGGTTCAAATAAAGCTACCCATAACAAAATAAGAACATAAAATAGCAGAGGACAAATAAGGAAATAAAAAGACGAAAAGTAATACCTTTCTCTCTTTTGGTTACGAATGATATCAGTTCCCTTCAAAATGCTGAACTGCTACTACTTTTTTTTTCTTTTTTCTTTTTTTCCTTTGGAAGTAAAAGCAAAACAGAGGTGATAATAACAAAACGAAATCAAGGGTGTGAAACGAAAACCAGAAATTCTGCTTCTTCTTTTTTTTCTTTTTTTAATATATACAATGAATAAGGTTCTTTTGGGAACAATGGCAAAGGAAAAGCGAAACGAATTGGAAAAAAATGACACAATGAGAGCAAGGGGCAAACGAAAACCAGGAAATCTGAAGGCTATAGGCAGTGGTGTTTTGATTGCAATTTTAATTTGGAAGTAAAGCAAAATAAATCTAAGCAGAAGCTGGTTGCTGCAATGAAGAAACTGAAGGTGCGCACGAGACTCTTAATCAGAAAAAGCAGGTTGCTGCTGCAATGAAGAAACTGAAAGTGCGCAGGAGACTTAAAGGCACTTGTTCTTGTTCACCAAAAAAAAAAGGCATTTGTTGTTTGGCCCCACGAGAGAGAGTAGGAGAATTGATGCTTTGCTTTAATCAGTAAAGAGATGAGAATTGGTGCTTTAATCACAAAAGAGATGAGAATTGGTGAGAAGCTGAAGGGAATTGGTTCGTTGTGTTGTGTCAAGTTTACTTTGGGATAAGAACAAGGATAGGAAAGAAGGCTTTCTTTGTGTTCCCTGTATATTACTCTTCTTTCAAGATTCCCCAAAAGAGAGAAAACATCCCTTTTTATAAGCATCACAAAAGAGATGAGAATTGGTGCTGTGACCAAAAAAATTAGAAAAGAGATGAACGGTAGTGCACTAACCAGGAGTGACGTCAGCGCACTAATCACTGGTCTCCATAAAATTCCAACGTGTATATGATGAACGGTAGTACTTGCTTCTCTCTCCATTCAAATTCAACGGTCCAGATCCCGTGCAATTTAAATGCACTTACTCATAAAGAAGCATTTTTGCTCACCATATTAATTAGAGGTGTATGCTCACCATCATATTTAAAAAGTGATACATGTCCCATTGTTAACCTTGGTTAACTTTTATGGGAGAATTTAAAAAAATAAATTAAAAAGGGCCCACAGCCCTCTCTCCCTTTCCTTCATCCTTTCCCCCATCCTTTTTGTTTCTTTTCTTTCTTTCAGCCTGGAAAGCACTCAAGTTAAAACAACTCAACCCCTACTTCTTTTTCCCATTTCCAGAAAACCACCATAGGCGGCGACCTTCACCCATTTCAAAAAATAGAAAACCAGAGGGTTTAGATGTTTTATTTGAATATGATTCATTCACTTCTACATCAACATTGAAGTTTAAAGAGAAAAAGGTATAAATCTAATGCCGAAAATGCTTGATAACAAAACCGTTGATTGTTCTCACAAATAACAAAGCCTCCATAATTAACCAGTTTTGGGATGAATGTTCTCACAAATAACCAGTTTTATTAGCTGAACTTCCAAAAGCGTTGTCTCTAATCAAAAGCCTAACGCAAATAATTCGTTTAATTAATTCAATCTTATACTTCCCAAAGCAACAGGGAGGGAAGGATATTCGCCCCTCTCAAAAATAAATTCAAAGAATCCGTGCAAAATGCAGATTTGAGAAAGCCCACAAATCATTGATAACAAAACTACAACAAAAACCCAGATGATGAATAGAGTCACAAGTAAGCAAATGAAACATATTTCTTCAATGAATTTGAGGAGCATATTGGTGAGGGAGGAGAGAGAAGAGAAGAGAGAGAAGTGTCAGGGGTCGAGAAGGAAATAAAGAAAAGGAAGGGGTAAAAGGAGGAAAGAATGGAGAGAAGAGAAGGCTGTGGGCCCCTTATTTATTTATTTTTTCAGATTCTCACATAAAAGTTAACTAAGGTTAATAATGGAACACGTGTCACCCTTTCAGGGTAGTGGTGAGTATACACCTCTAGTGTTAATGTGGTGACCAAAAATGATCCCTATTCGTAAGGGTGTTGTTAAATGAACTATAAAATTAACTGATTACACCTTATTACCAAACTATTTATTGAATTACTAATTCATCCTAATATAAAATGACCAAAAAGAATATATTAAATTGTGAAACAAATGTAATTTTAATAAAATACACATTACTCACTATTATCAAACTTATCAAACGTAAGCAATCTGATTAATGCATAATGTTGATGCAAACTAAATCCAAATCCGATCTTATTAGTATCACAATGCACAGAATAGTCGATCTGAATGTTGTTGCCAGACCACAATTTCTGAGACAAGAAATTATCAATAAACTACATGATACTCTATGTATAATCCAATTATCTCTCCTTTCATCAAACATACCAGAGACGAGCAAGATTCACGCATTGCCTTTTGCCTACGTCTCAGATCAGAAACAGACTCTTATGGTTAATGGAAGAATATATACTCGTCTTTTCAATAAGATATGTTTTTTCTTTCCTTTTCCTCCCTCTTTTACCCCAATAAGTTTTAGCGAAGAAAGATGTGAAATGCTTGAAAAGTGTTGTCTTTGACATGGTATTTTGGTTGTTCTTGTTTCTGAAAACTAGAGCGCGAAATGTTGTGGCCGTTGAGAGAAGGAAATCCCAGAGTTTCCATTACCAAAGAGCTTTACGATACTGAGAGAATCGATGAGCAAATTATCGGATTTGGCTTAGGGTGCTAGTTTGGTGTTGTGTGATAGAATGTATTAGGGTGCACCAGGGGTATTTTTGGTAGTTAATTAGGGCATACTTAGTTAATTTTACATTTTGATTTAAATATTAGGGTGTACTTTAATCATAAGGTGTACACAATTAATTTGAGAGTTCGTTTAACAACACCCATTCACAAATTTCACTTCATTCGCCATCACAAATCACCAAGATAATAATCTCCCTTCCTTGTGCTTTCCCCGAGCTCAAACAATCCAGCCCAAAACAAATCTATTTGCATGGGTATTTTTTATTCATAATTAAAAAAATATATATGAGGGTAGTTGTGGTATAAAAGTTTGATTAGTGATTGAGTTCTACTCTCAACACCACAAGAAATTATATAGTAGTACTGTACTACCACCTCAACTTGTGATACTCCCATTGAAAATATGACATGTGTCATATTTTTATGAAAAATTATAACCCTTTTTTGCAGCTGGATTTAAAGCGTTTATATAAATTATAATAAACTTAAAAGGAAAAAAATAGAAAAGAAAAGAAAAGAGTGCTGCTATTCCAACCCCCTTGTCCTATTTTCCCACCCACCTTATCTTTAAAATTTTAAAGGCAAATTTACCCTATTGTAAAATGACTTTTAAGGACTTAACTCTAAGTTAACACTGTTAAGTCAAGAAAATAAAAATAAAAATAAAAACAGAAAATTAGAATAAATAAATAAAAGAGCCCAGCAAACAACCCTCAGACTACCCACCCAACCCCGTGACAACCAAAACCAACCTCCCCTCCTCACCTGACCGGCAGCCACATCATCAATTGCCATCTAAACCAAATGAGTTGCTCTTGTAAGATTCCCAGTTGCCCTCCTCTCTATTTTTCTTTTTTTATAAATCTAAATTAGCGAAAAAAGGGCCATGAAGTTGCTGATATTGATGAAGACTAGGATGAGCGACTTTGGCAGGCAATGCAGTCGAAGTGTCGTCTCAAATTTGGGCCAATTGATATAATATTTCTCGTGGGTTTGTTTATTCGTGGGTTGATTGAAATGGAGAGAGGAGAAGAATGTTAGATTGGGGTTTGAAGGTGTTATTCAATACAACTGAAATAATGGTGAAAGAGACATGAGGAGGAGGACGGAGGAGGGGAGGCTTGGCCTGAGGTGGAAGGTATGGGTGGTTCTTGTTAAGGTTTGATGGAGTGTGTGGTGGGTGGTTGCTGAAACCTTCTTTTTTTTTTCTTTTTTTTTTTTAAATTTTTTCGGACTCAATCAATAGTATTAAGTTAGGGTTAAGGGCATGTTTGGTACGGCGGACTGTCATGGACTGGACTAAATCCTAGGACTGTCTTGGATTAGCTCGGATTGGACTAAGCTGGATTAAGTCCTGACCTACGTTTGGTGCTGCGTCGGACTAAGAAGCTGGATTGTAAAAATAGTGAAGACCTATGTTTGGTGCTGAGTCGGACTATAAAAAATAATAATAATTTTAAGATAATTAAATGTAATTTAAGATCTTAAAACTATAAACATACTTTATAGTTATCAAATTGATATGTACATTTCTTTTTCACAAAATTTATATATAATAATTGAGTATATGCAAACTCAAAGAATTCAATTAATGTATCAATAACAAAGAATTCTTCATATATATGCAAAAGTCATCCACAGGACTCGAAATTAGAAATTCAATTCACCACACACAAATCCACCATTAATACATACAAATAAACATCCACAATTCCACAAGGCAAAAGCCAGGTTCTAGGAGATACATAAGGAAAGAAAGAAAAAAAAGCCAAGAACAGCCAATGAGAAACATATTACAAACCAAAAGCAAACAAGGCAAAATTAGACCACCCTTCTTAAGACAAAAAAGCACCACAGAAAATGGTCGATGTGCATCACTTGAGTTCTCTCTTCTCTGCATTTGATGACACCACATCTTGCAACTTAGTCAATAATTATATGAGGCACTTCCAGCATCCAACAGAAAAAATGTTTGACTCTTTGTCTAGATCAATTCGTTAATTTTCCATTGCACTTCTGATATCTAGAAAAATCCATTGGCTCAAAAGACACCATCAACTTCAACTCTGAAATTATGCATGCTTGCCTACACAAGTTGTTTTGACCTCCAAACATGGGAAAATTTCTCAAGCCTGCAAGTACGCATATAACATCTCAAGTCTCATCAAATAGAACTTTGCAGCTAAAGGAATAATTAATTACATGATACATATGCAATAAACAAAGCAGCTGGAAATGAAATGAAACCAGGATAGGCAAATCTATTTCTTCAATCACAGAAGCATTTAATGGGTAAATTGAACAAACAACATATAGGTTAATGGGAAAAGGTA